TATACAGTTATCTGAGGGATTTTTCAACAAAACCAAATGAAGAAATTACCCCATCGAATTTGATATACCATTGACGGGAGGCTTGTTTTAAACCGTATATGAATTTCTTAAGCTTACATACTAAATGCTCACCACCCCTAGAAGAGAAACCTTCAGGTTGTTTCATATAAACCTCCTCTTCTAGATCACCATTTAGGAAAGCGGTTTTCACATCCATTTGTTGCAACTCAAGATTGAAATGTGCAACTAATGCCAGAATGACCCGAAGTGAATCTTTCTTTGATACAGGAGAAAAAGTCTCCTTGTAATCGATTCCATCTTTTTGAGTAAATTCCTTGGAAACAAGCCGGGCCTTGTATCTCTCAATGTTGCCTAATGAGTTTCTTTTAGTCTTAAAAACCCATTTATAGCCAATGGCCTTGGCCCCATTAGGCAACTCAACAAGATCCCAAACTCCATTGTCCTTCATGGAATTCATTTCATCTTTCATGGCTTCTAACCATAAGTCAGACTGTGCACAATTTGTGGCTTGAGAGAATGTTTCAGGATCATTTTCGGCCCCTATGTCAGATTCTTGTAGATACGAAACATAATAACTAGGAACTGCTGATCGCCTTATTCGAGTAGACCGTCTTAAGGTTGGACCCTCATCACCTTGTACAGGCTGCGGGGCAACTACCTCTTCAGGAACTGGTGGCAGTTCTTGAATTGGTTCAGTCTGCATCGGCTCAGAATCTTGCTGTATATCCTGAGTTGGTTCAACCATTGGTTCGAAATCTAGTTCAGGCGGTTGCTGTAAGTCCTGAACTAGTTCTTCCAAAGGCTGATCCTCAACAGTTTGTGGAACCTCAACGGTAGGTGGTATATCTGCAGGCAGAACTAAAGGAGCACTGCGGATAAGTACAACCCCACCAGATGACGTAGAAGGTTGAGAGTCAATATGATCGAAGGAAGGAACTAAGTCCTTAAACCGATCACTCCCACTAATTAAATCATCCTCAAGAAATTTAGCATTCCTTGATTCCACTATCCTAATAGTATGAGATGGACAATAGAATCTATAACCCTTAGAAGATTGTGCATATCCAATAAATAAAGCACTAATCGTCCTTGGGTCAAGTTTCTTCTCGTGTGGGTTATATATCCTCACCTCATACGGACATCCCCAAACACGCATATGTTGCAAACTCGGTTTCCAACCTTTGAATAACTCAAACGTTGTCTTTGGGACAGCCTTGGTTGGAACAGGGTTTAATATATACGTTGCCGTCTTAAGCTTCATCCCACAACGACTTAGGAAGCTTAGAGTTGCTAAGCATACTCCGCACCATATCCAAATGGGTCCGGTTTCTTCTTTCAGCTACACCATTTTGGTCCGGAGAACCAGGCATAGTGTATTGAACAACATCCCATGCTCTTGAAGAAACTTAGCAAAGGGACCAGGTGCTTGTCCATTCTCAGTGTATCTACCATAGTATTCACCACCCCTATCAGACCTAACTATGTGTATTTTCCTGTTACATTGGTTTTCAACTTCAGCTTTAAATGACTTAAAGGCATCCAATGCTTCATGTTTATGACGAAGTAAATACACATAGGAAAATCTGGAAAAGTCATTAATAAAGGTGATGAAATATTTCTGACCAGGTATTGTCATGTCAGGACAACATTTGTCAGTATGAATAATTTCCAACAACGTTGTACTTCTATTGGCCCCTTTCTTTGACTTGTTTGTCTGCTTACCCTTAATGCAGTCAACGCAAGTCTCAAAGTCAGTATAGTCTAGAGTAGAAAGTACTCCATCTTTTACTAACCTTTTAATACGCTCAAGGGAGATATGACCTAATCTCCGATGCCACAACATTGAGGAATTATCGTTAATACTGCACCGTTTGGTGTCGTTTTGAACATGTAAAGAATTGTAAACTGAATCATTCTTTAATTTAAGACGGAAAAGACCATTAGACAATGTACCAGTACCAACACAAGTAGAATAACGAAATAACTTGATATTATTGGTATTAAATTCAAAAGAATATCCGAAGGGTACAAGTCTAGACACTGAAACTAAGTTCCTAGAAAAACTAGGAACATAAAATGTCTTTTCTAACGTCATTACAAAACCATTGTCCAAAACTAAATTGCAAACTCCGACAACTTCGACTGGTGATGCAATCTTGTTTCCAGAGAAAATGCTACACTCAGTTCCCGTCGGCTGTCTCAATTTTGTCAAATCCTGCAAAGAGTTTGCAATGTAGATTGTTGAACCAGAGTCAACCCACCATGAATTAGTATTAACTTCTGACATATTAGATTCGAAACAAACAAAAGAAGATGGAACATACCCAAGCTTAGCCACAAGCCTTCGTTCCTCCATTACACACTTGGTTATCAACTCATTGATAGACCAGTCCACTTTATGTGTGATGTAGGAAATCTTAAAAGGATTGTACTCCTGAGGGAGGGTATCAAGTGCAAAACGCACCAAATAATCATCTGGTACAATGATTTCCAACTTCTTTAATTGAGCCGCAATATCCCCGAGTTGCATAATGTGTTCACGCGTTCCCTCGACAGTGGAAAGATGCAAATTTCTAAACTTCATGATTAGAGTTATTGCCAAAACTTTCTTTGATTCAATGAAGTTATCATCGATAGCTTTGAGCAAGGGCTTAGCTTTCCTAATGTCCTCAAAGCAAAAACGAATTTTTCTGGAAATTCGTGACTTAATGAAGACCACACATAATCGATTGGATTTCTCCCATCGTGCGCGAAGTTGCTTGGCTTCGCCAGTGCTTTCTTCAGTAACCTCAGGGGGTTCCTCATTGAGAACAACGTAATCCAACTCTAATAATCTTAATTGCAGGAGAATTGCATCTTTCCACTCCTTGTGATTATCTTCATTAAGGATTGGAACATTAATAGTTCGTGTTTGAGAGACAGGATGAGTTGCTGTAAAGAATAATAATTAATGCTTGGTTAGAATATTTCCGAGGCACAAAAAATTAGAGAGAGATACTGAAGTACATAATATTACCAATGTAAAATTATGCGAAAAATAAATTCGGATGCCATAAAAATTGGCTGTGGGCTAAATTTTTACGCATAGTGAATTTACCAAAACCGAATGGTAGAAACGGAATGGGCGCGATTTGAGGTTTTTTTTCCACCCTTAATGACAAAACTACCAAAACTATATGCCGATACATAATCCCTGTGGGCAAATTATGTTCATAGTATGGTATTTCATCCTAATTAACCCTACAAATATAACAAAATTGTCTGTGGGCTAAATTTTGCCATAGCACACAGAGTGAATTACAATATTCTTGCATTAACTTTATGTGAATAAAACTTAATATGTAATTTTGGAAAATTAAAGATGTTGTGGCTACTCTTTAATTAACCAAAGAACATAATCACATTAGCAAGAAAGCCTAATAAACAAACAGATTAAACCAAAATATGATAGACAATCCATAGGTATACTCCCAGGAAAGTTGGTCGAGACGAAGCTCGGTTAAAAACCAACTCCTTAGACAGAGTAACGTCGCAAGGGGACTAGTAGCAACAAGGCTTTTAAGCCAGGGCCATAGAACTAGTATTCCTCCCCAAGAAACTTCCCTAATTCATGTGTTCTCATTTTTGAAGTAAAATTGTTTGAGAGATCTAAAGAGTTGTAGTTTCACCTATGGATAAGGCTTTGAATAGGGTAAACTACGAATTGTTTTATGTACTTTCTGTGCTTTTGGAACTTTATAAAACACGAGTGGAGTAATGACTGAAGATTGAGTGGAGTAATAACTGAAGATTGAGTAATAATATGCATAATCTAACCTGAAAGTCACTAATTCACCTAAAAGGCACTAAATCATGCATAGCATATAATTCAGACCTAAAAGGCTCTAAATTTTTCTTAATGAGCATGCTTTTCTACAGGCATAATTATAATTACAGTCAAATAATTATTGCAATAAAGAGATAAATAGCATGCTCAGATTATGCACATTACTCACAAATACTCCACAATTAAATTGTAACACTTAATACAATTTAAACTGAAAAACATTATTAAATTAAAATTCAACTGAAAAATTAAAAACTGAATAATTGTTCAAAGTTGAATAATAATTTAATAATAGACTTAATAAAAAAAATTTCAATTGGATAATTTAATTAGAAGAAGTCCAAATATGATGAAGATGTTAATCTGAATGAATTGATGTAGTCCAAATATCAATTCAGATTTGGCCCAAAACCATAACAGGCCCAGATTTAATAAAAAAAGATTTTTTTTTTATTATGATGAGCCCAAGTCTGGCTCAATTAGCTTAGACATTTTCATTCATCATCTTCTTCGTCACACAGCCAACAGCAGCGCAAAGGTCAAACAAAAATTTATTATCCAACTTTAACTTTTTTTTTTTTTTGGGTTTCTTAATGCGGAAAAAACTGAATTTCCAGCAGCCCAGACATACAATTGCATACTAAAAAAACATTCGCATGTGTAAACTCAATTATACAGCAAAGTATATAACATATGCAAATATTTAGCAATTAAAAAAAAACTAGGCAGAGTATTTATGGCGACTGATACCAACTGTTAGACTAAAATATCACATGCATCATTATAATATGTGATAATAGGATCGACTAACCTCCAGCCATAGTTCTTAACACGGTTGAACGATCCGGACTGCTGCAGAGATAACGAGTATTTTATCTCTCACTTTACTCAGCTCTCTCTAAATGGTGTATGAGGTATGTAATGTGAGCAGTGAGAGGACTAGTGACCTTATATAACCACTGGCCATCATTGTGGTTGATTGTCTTTAGGTCTCCTAAATCCTAACTAGACTCCTAATCATAATGGTAGTCTAGCTATTAGGTTATTAGTGTTGCACCACATATCAAATACTGAATATTATCATAACTTATCCTAATGTTATACTAATAGTAACGGATAAACGTTACATAAATTTGTTCACATGCAACATGTAATGGCCTCAGTGTGGAGGCCGGTGATGGGGATGCGAGTCATTCCGCTGGAGGACAATTTATTTGCCTTCCAATTCCCTCACTTGAAGGATTTGCAAAGAGTTTTGGATGAACGCCCGTGGTCATTCGAGAACCAAACTTTGGTGTGCAAGCAAGTCCCCGCTGGCGAGGCCGGAGGAGATAGTGCTAGATTCAGTGGCTTTTGGGTTCAAATCCACGAGTTGCCGACTGTGTATGCAACGTCAGAGTTCGTTGAGCAGGTGGGGAGATATGTGGGCACCTACCCAAACATTTTCGGGGGCGCATGGCGAAGCTATTTTAGAGTCAGGATTGCACTGAATATTGGAGAGCCGCTAAAGCGGAATATGAAGCTACAGCACCGCAATGGGACCTTTCAATGGATCACGTTCAAATACGAACGTCTGAACATCTTTTGTTTATGCTGTGGTTTGATTGGGCATTCGGAGAAATTCTGTCACAAGGTGTATGAGCAAGGACTGACGGCGAAGGACTTTCCTTATGGTGCTTGGTTGAGGGAGGGGGGGGGGGGGGGGGAGAAGAGAGCCGAAGCCGGTTGGTTCGAAATGGCTTTTGCCGGAACTACCTCTGATGGCGGCTTGCGTGCCTTCAATCCCAGCATTGCCCACTATTGATCCGGTTCTGGTTGAGGAATTGCAACAGGTGATTGGGGAGCATAAACGCCGATGAGAGGATGGGTCGGGACTGGGACAGTTAATTGTTGGTGACGTAAATATGGCTGATATCTCAAAAAACATGCTTACGGCGGGTCCGGGGAGCTTGGCCCGCCCATCATCATGAGTACACTGAGGTGGAACTGCCGTGGTTTGGGTAGCCCTCGGATGGTTCATGAACTGGTGGGCCTGGTGTCCAAAAAGTGACCTGACTTTGTATTTTTAATGGAGACCAAAGCTTACTCTGCATATTTGGAAACAGCAAGCATACGTTTGGGTTTTAAGGGGATGTTTTGTGTAGATAGACTAGGATTAGGAGGCGGTCTGGCGTTATTGTGGAGGGAGAAAGAGATGGCAACTCTACTTGGATTTTCTGGAAGTCATATTGATGTGGAGGTCAATTTTTCGGGTACGATTCCATGGCGGCTTTGTTGCTTCTATGGCTATCCTGAACGGTCTAGAAGGAGCCAGTCTTGGGATCTTTTGAGGGAGTTGAGTTCTCGATCCAATTTACCATGGGTTGTGATAGGAGACTTCAACGACCTTGCTTGTCACGAGGAGAAGGGGCCAATTCCCCATCCGGATGGATTAATCTGGGGTTTCAACGAGGCCTTGCAGGATTGTGACTTATCTGACCTTGGTATGTCCGGTTACAGCTTTACTTGGGAGAGAGGCAGAGGCACGACGCATTGGGTGGAGGAGCGGTTAGACCGGGCGGTGGCTTCTACAGCCTGGTGTGATTTGTATATAGGGGCAACGGTCCATAATCTTCTTACTTTGCATTCTTATCATAGCGCTATTTTGCTGGAACTGGAGGGGGGTCCGGACCGTCGAGTGGGTAGGTGATGTGAGCCTAATTGTGCAGATTTTTAATATTAATTTGATTATATTTATTAGGCTTGAGTTCATGATTGTGGTAATTTAATTGCAAAATCCTTTATTTTATTATTTAGTTATGGTTCACACTTATTTGGAATGTTTTACGGTGTTTGTTAGTGTTTTGGAACCATTGTAGGTCAATTCTATGAGCAAGGGAAGTTCTAGGGCGAGTTTGGAGCCAAAATGGACAAGTTGGAGCCCAGAAGACTCGACGCGTCGAAAATTTCCCGAAAGTAATTTGTGCGAGCACAACAGCGCTCGACGCGTCGAGAAAGACGTGGCATTGCGTTTGACGCTAATTTGCATCTGGGCGGCAAAACTTCTAAAAAAAAGGAAAGAGGCGGCATTAATCAACTTCAAATTGGCATGCATTAATCATCAATTTCGAAAATCTGCATGATGGGCGCTAAATTTCAAGGGTGGCAATTTCCAAAGGGTGTTGCTATTTGCACTACCCTTTGACCAAAAATGGTATAAAGTATCATTGGAAATGTAAAAATTTTATAATTTATAATAAATATATAGGTGGTGCAAATAGCCTAATGGATGGTCAAAATGCTATTTGCACCACCTTATTAAAATTGCATTTATTAGGTCAAAATTAATTCATAATTTAATTCATTAAAAAAAAAAAAAAAAAAACAACCATCGCCTTCTCTGGTGAGAAGGCCGGAGAAGGCAGGCCACTGTGCCTTCTCCGGCGAGAAGGCAGCCCACTGTGTGGGTTGCCTTCTCCGGTGAGAAGGCAGTCCGTCGCCCTTCTCACCGGAGAAGGTGACGGATCTTTTTATTTTATTTTATTTTATTTTATTTTATTTTTTTTAACAACCCACTGGGCTGCCTTCTCACCGGAGAAGGCAGCCCAGTTGCCTTTTTCGGTGAGAAGGCAGTCCCTGCCTTCTCACGGAGAAGGTGACGGGATGGAGTTTTTGTTTTGTTTTGTTTTGTTTTTTTTTTTTGTTTTTTTTTTTTTTTTTTGTAATTTAAAAAAAAATAAAAAACAAATAATAATCTTTGACCACATTTAATGCTGGCATTTACACCACCTATAAAGTTATTTGACCTACTAAATAGGTGGTGCAAATAGTAAAATAGGTGGTGTAAATAGAATTACCCTTTCCAAAGCTTTATTCTCCAAAATCAAAAGTTAGAAAATATTCTAAATTGAAGAATTCGTGAATTTTCTAAAATAAAATAAGAGAATTACGATTTCGTCCCGACTTGATTCTTGCTACAAAATCCCGCATTCCTCAACCCTAATATGAATCCAGAATTCGGAATACAGAGTTCTTTGGAGATAAGAAAGAGAGAAATCAAGAGCCACAAGTTGTCTTGGGAAGCAAGAAGAAGACTAGTAGGGAGATTTGAGAGAATCAACTGGTTAATTCTTGTACTCTTTTGATGATTTGTAATTCTTTATTTATATTTACTATGTATAATTTAGCCATGCTTGGCTAAGTTCTTTAGCGATTCTTGGGTAAAAGTGTTTATGAACCTATGTGCCTGAGCTCTCAGTTTCTTTAATATATTATTATTTGGGTTAACTTGTGTTGCAATTGTGTTATATATTCTTGTTGCTAGTAGTTTAGGGCCCGAATTACTTGCTTCGTAGCTTTGTTTGTGTCACAACGAGAGTTGGGCATAACTTAGGGCACACACAATTGCACCTAATTGTTGCACCTTGAGGAAGGGTAATTTATTAGGGGGATTTAATTCTTGATTATTGCGCATCAAGACATGGCAGTAGTTAGGAATTTATGATGCTTGATCTTGTTTTATTGGGTGTTTAAGCCACGAGAGTGGAAATTCACTAGTGTTAGTGACTACGAGAGTAGCTCTATACCACCTTGCATCCTCACACTTGTTAAACCCGGATTTTAATATTGTCCTTAAGATTTGGCACTAGGTGATTAAATACTTGAATCCCAGGAATCTCATCTTCTCTCTATTGTTTTCAAAATCTTGAATCTCTGCTTTATTTTATTTATTTTATGCAACCAATCATCCAATCAATTGTTAGGATTAGCTCTAATGAATAAATTAGTAACTAGTGCTTGATACAACCACTTTCCTGTGGATCGATAACTCGTACTCCAAGTATTACTTGTTTGCAAATATACTACGCATCAGTAGGCGTTTTAAGTTTGAGGCAGCATGGCTGCTTGACGACAACTGCAGAAGGATTATTGAATATTCTCGGGGCTCCAATCACGGCTTCGGCTTCCAACAAAATGTGACACAATGCGGTAAGGATTTGTGGCAATGAGGGGGAGGGGGGTGACTATTTCGAAGATTTGGCAGAAGGATTCAATATCTAAAAGACAAGCTGGAGAGGTTGAGGGGTAGTAGAGACAGTCACGGCGTGGATATCTTCTTGGCGACGAATTGAAGGAGGACTTGAACAGACTTCTTGCTCAGGAAGACGTCTATTGGCGGCAGCGCTCTAAACAGTTATGGCTCCAGGAAGGGGATCATAACATGAAGTTCTTTCATAAATTCGCCTCATGCCGACGGAAGAACAACAGGTTGGTACGCATACAAACTGCAGCTGGCTAGTGGGTTGAAGGTTCAGACATGCACTCGGAAATTATGAGATATTACTCTGATATCTTCCTTTCTTCTGCCCGCAACAGTGATCTTATGAGCCGAGTTTCTAATCGGGTCACTGCCGACATGAACAACCGACTGACACAGCCTGTTGAGGCGGAGGAGGTGAAGATGGCTTTGTTCTCTATGGTCCCAGATAAAGTTGCAGGCCCCGACGGTATGTCCTCTTCGTTTTATCAAAATTTCTGGTCTATTGTTAGGTCCATTGTTAGGGGGGATCTCACTAGTTTTGTCACAGATTGCATTCATAATTGCAATCTGCTAGTTGGCTTAAATGAGTCCAATTTTGTTTTGATTCCGAAAAAAGAAAACTCCTGAACGAGTGTCTGATTTGAGGCCTATTGCATTATGCAATGTGGCCTACAAAGTCATAGCCAAAATATTTTTTTGGATATATTCATTTGAATGACATGTATATGAATATATAACTTTTACTTTAAATTCTAATGTATGTGAGATTTCAATATTCAATATATGGACCGAACTTGTATTACAATGTAACATAATTTAAAATATTCGAACTAATACTCTATTGATTTCAATCAAAATCTAAAACATTATATAGAGTTTAATTCTTAATTTTGATAATGTAAATAATGTCTAACTTTAAAGTGTAAAGCAAATACGTTATGTTTACCCTTAACCAAAGGTCAATGGTTTGATCATGTTTTCTAGTTTTTAAGAGTAAATGATTCTGTTTTTCATTTAGAAAATAGTTTTTAAGAGTGTTTCAATTTTCTAGTTTTTAAGAACAGATGATTCTATTTTTCATTTAGAAAACAATTTTTAAAAGTATTTCAGTTTTCTAATTTTTAAGAGTGTTTCAGTTTTCTAGAAATTTGGAAAATTATTTTCAGTTTTTCATTTAGAAAATAATTTTTAAAAGTGTTTCAGTTTTCTAGTTTTTAAGAATGTTTCAGTTTTCTAGAAAATTGAAAAATTATTTTCAGTTTTTAAAATAGAAAACTGTGCTAATAAACATGTTTTCTGTTTTAATTTCTATATATTTTTCTTTTCAGAAATTTTTAAAAATTTCCAGTTAATATAGTGTCCCGTGGTAGCAGGCAGGTTGTTTATGTTGAATGGTCAAAAAGAGGTAGAAAGAAGATTATTCAAAGTAAACAACCCCAGATTTGAGTAGCAAATTAAATTAGTTTTGTTAAGCATGCAGGAACAAAGCAAAGTAAAAGCATGCAATTCGATCAAGTTTGATATTTTATTATTATATATATTATTGCTTAAAATCGATAATGATTGAAACATACATAATAATTCAAATACAAGCTAGCTAGCAAACCTTGCACACATGCATTGGACTAGACATCTAGCCACAAGCGGCTAGTTGCATGCCTCACCTCCAATTTTATTCAAAACACACTCAATAATTATAGAAAGGTCTTCATGAAGCTATAGAAGACTTAGCTTTATTCAAACACACATGCATGCATGCACAAAACTATTTCGGTTTAAAATGTCTCGTCCACTTCATGATCGTCAAGGATATAATTTCCATTGTCCTGCTGAACCATT